GCAAATCAGTATAGACATTTAACAATGGACAGAATCCAGTGGAGAGTCCCTCTTGTCAGTGGATAACACCTCACAAAGTTTCCTTCAGACTATAAATGCAGACTGTCGGTCAAATCCATTTTCTAATTAAAACAGATGGCCACTTCCTAATAGTAAGTCTTCTCGAATATTGGCATATCTTCTGCTAGGCTCTCTCTCTCTCTCTCTCTCTCTCTCTCTATATATATATATATATATATATATATATATATTAATGTATACAAATCTACATACACATGTATGCATGTAGATGTAAATACCTATTCATTATTTTGAAATTCATTTTCCTTCTTTATTCAGGACTTCCTCAATACAATAAAAGACGACCTTTGGCACACTGCTTATACCCAAATCCAATCATTTCTGGATTTTTCTTATTCCAATACAAGTATTTATACATTCCAGAGGCCTGCTTAAGGTGTGGACTGGCTTTACCCTGTGTTTTTTTATTTGGCAAAATGTAACACTGCATCTCCCTTCACTTCCCCAAAATTGGAAAACATAAGGAAAAATAAATCTCCAAAAACGTGCTACCTTAATACCACAACAATGACCATTTTTGCTCATTTTTTCCAGTATAATTTATAGGCTGCTTTGTTTCATTTAACATTTTTTCATAAGTGTTTTTCTATGATACTAAATAATCTTTATAATTATCACTTTAATGGCCACACTGAGCGAATGTGCACCATCATTTACGTAACTGTTTACCTATCATTGGGCATTTAGTTGGTTCCATTTTTACTCCTTTAGTTGAAATGAACATTTTTATATAAACTATTAATTTAAAACAGCATGCAGACATGATTCTACATCACTAATCTAAAAATACTGGGTTTATATATTTACAACTCACATTTGATTGTGAAATTTAATTTGAAGGTAATTAAGACATTTATATTCCAAACAGCTCCTTGACATCTAGCTCTCCATGCACCAGACAAGCACAACTATGACTAGCCGTTTTCACCTCAAGACAGCATAGTCTAGTGCATTCTAAAACACAGTTTTCTTAAGAAAAATAAACTTCATGAATTCTTGCTGCTTCAGAGCCAAGAGATTAAGCCCAAGAACTGGAGTCCACGGTTCTCTGGGGTGACCCAGTCAAGACAAGCTGTTAAAAATGCCATTTTGGTTTCATGCTTCATCCCGAATTTAAAGCAACCCTCACCTGGTCTGTGCTCCCGGGCCAGGTATGCTCCTGGGACCTACCTCGGGGTCTGTGCATAACCTGCACCCAGACACGTTGTGGAAACAGCCCAAGGAAATTGCTCAGATAAGCTTCAATTGTCTGATGGATTTTGAAGTTGACCATGGGGCACTTCAAGTTACAGATTTTCCTGGGTAGGGGTAGTGGTTTAGTACATGGGCTTCAAACAGATCTAGCCATTTCAACAGGTATAGCCTACTATCTGTGTGACTGAGGAAGTTACTCCCCCCAAAAAATCATATGCCTCAGTTTCTCAGTCTGCAGTATGAGGCTATCAATAACACCTCCCCTGTAAGACTATTCTGAGGGTTAAATGAGAAAATGCAAGTGGAGTGCATAAGGGAATGCTGACATTTGGTTAGGACAGATAAGTACAAAACTATGTGCTGAATGTTAATGTAACACTGTAACATGTGCATTCACTTGCTGAAGAAATGCAAGCAAGAGTGATGAATGAAGCAGTGCACAGGAAGCTTCCACTTGTCTCATGGACAGACTTCTGTAGAATGCCCCATTTACTTTCATAATAAAATCATAAAATCATTGTAAGCTTGACCCCTTCCCCCAATAAATAGTAAATGAATACCCTGGAAAGATGTGTCCACCTTAGTAATTCTTAATGTCCAGGAAAATTCCACTTGAAAGCTTTAGAAAATGTCATCCAGCCATCAGAAGCAACCCATAACCTCATCTGAGGCCAAAATAAATCAACTGCAAAATTTCTTTGGTGCTTTCCCTATCAAAGAATCAGGACAACTCAGTTACTACTACTTAAAAAAAACAAAAAGTCAGCAACAATAATTTAAACTGATTAAACATCTTAAGTATCATTTTTACTAATAAGGAAATGACTTTTATATACCTAGCAACTTTCTATAAAACAGAAAAGCTTAGAATTTTTTATTATTTTGCCACTGGCAATTAATTCTTCTGATTTGTTTTATTAATTTGATGGTGGGGTCCCAGACTCAGAATATCTCTTACACCAGCAGACTGATGTAAGGAAATTATTTCAGTGCAGTTCCTGGCAAATCGTGATGATGAATAGCATGGTAGGACAAACTTATTCAGACACACATTTTTCAGTAGTGGCAGGGAAAAGGCTGAGAAATTACTAGTAAATTGCTTTTTGTAAAAATGCTCTCTCTTTCAAATTTTCCCTGGTATGAAGGTCTTCTGCAAAATGACGGCACAATATATTCTGACATACCTGGACAACAAAAGGAGTTAAAGAATGAATACAAGATAAGAGTGAGGGCTAAGATTTAATTTTCTTATTATACGCCCACTGTCACCCATACTGACCCCCCACACCAGGTTCTCTGTATGCATCTGTTTAACTTGCCGGAACAAGTATCTCTAAAAGTTATCAGTGGTCTCTCTTGAGCAGATTTGCCCTGCCCACCTCCCACCCACAGTCCAGCCCTCCCTAAAGCAGAGCCAGGATAGTGATGCGTCTCCAGCCTGTTTCTGTCCTTTTCCCTCCTCTCTAAAACTGCCCAGTTTTTCGTTTCAAATTACAGTGGTTTCTCAGGTGGTTTGTGGTCAAAAAAAAAAAATTACAGTGGTGTCCAGAGAGCTCCAGCACCTAGTAAACCACCAAAGACTTCCTCTGCTTTCCACAGAAGCCTCGCCTTTCAGGACACACTCTTGGATAATCGAACTGGAGCCTCAGGCATCTGGGGTTCAAAGGGTACTGGAGCAGTTCTCAGCCAGGGGCCACTCTGCCCAGCAAGCTGTTTGGCATTTCTAGTTGTCACTCTGGGAGGGGAGAGTACTACTTCTGTCTATTGGGCTGAAGCCAGGGATGCTGCAGACCACTCTGTGCCACACAGGAGAGCCTCTCTGACAACGAAAGATCCATCCTAAAATATCGGTAGTGCTGTGGTTGAGAAACCCTGGTCTAATCTAAATCAAATGCTGCAGGGATTACTGTTTGTTGTCCTCAAATATGATTACCAATTAGTTGTTCATGGCATAATGTATGAAGAACTTGATCTTTCAGCCTCTCGTTCAGTAACCAATGGAGGAGGTCTGCAAAGTGGCAGACCCATGCAGGCATGAGACACAGAGGTCAGTTTAACAAAGACCCCAGACAGCAGCTAGGGCGAGTCCTGTAACTCTCTCTCAGGTGGGAGCTGTGAAGTTTTTCACCTTTACTGAGCCACAGTTGGACACCAGGATCTACTAGAAACAGGGTGGATTCACAGGTCCTGCTCCTGCTTGTGCTTCATGCTGCATACCTTTGAACAAGTGGTATAACCTTTCTGAACCCCAGTTTGTCCTTGAAATGGGAAGTGTAGCACTGACCTTCAGAGCCCTCTGTAAGCAAGGTGATACACACACACACACACACACTAGCAGAGCATCTGGCCCTGTAAGTGGGGGCTATGCCATGAGTGTCATAGTTCTTGTGACTTTTCCCAAGAAATGCATTTGCAGATTCCTGGGCTGGGTTTTCAGGCTCCCCCAGGACAGAGCACAAGGTCGGCCTGAGGTTGGGCTAGGCCATGTGGCCTGAGCCCATCCGTGTGCAGCTCTTGCTGGCTCGTGTCCTTCACTTTGCCTCTCTTGGCATTTGGCTGCAGCCATTGAGGCCCTGCACACCCTTGGTTCCTCCCATCTGCCTGTTTCCTTCTCAAAGGCAAGGGAAAATAGTGAAGGATAGCTCACAAACAACATACTTAACTGCATTTTCTTGCTTTAAGTGCAACCATCACGTAAGTTCTTCCATGTGCGGTAAACAGCTGTGAATCTGCCTAATAAAGTGAAGGCATTTTACCCTACTGGTATTCCCCAAGAGGAATCATTGGCCACCTGCATCTTTTTAGCTGCATTTAATAATTCAGCCTAGGATGAATTTGCATGATTAACATAAAGCCTCATGATTTTATTTTCTTTCAGGATTTAAGTACTGCAACAACCACCATTGTTTTCATTTTCAGAGGTTGTGATCAAAACACAAAACTTGATTCCAGATGAATAATTTCTTTTATTTTTTTTTTCAAAATTATTTTCTAGTACCGCTCTCCATGGAATCAAAGAAAAGAGTTGCTAAGACTGCCTCTGTAGATGCAGGGAAACCCAGGTTTCTTCCTGTGGCTGTGTTAACCCCTTAGAAGCAAAGCACCCTCCAGGCTTTATCCTGCGGTGCTCCCACAGGGGAGCGTGGTGGGCTCTCCAGCAGAATCCATGATGACTAACGTAAATATATTTATTTCAGTTCCTCATTGTAGTGCTCACCACACTTATCTGCTCAGGACCTAGAATTGTCAGTAAATCTTTAAAACAGCCATTTTCCTAGGTTCCAATAATAGATTAATCACGTCATTCTCAAAAAATAGTAAAAACCCAAACCAAATAAGTTGCATTTGGTAAACCATCTGCCTATGAAGTGGAGACAGTGTGAAAAGATAATTTGCAAAGCAGAAGAGGCAGCATCATTGGGTTTCCTGATGAATGTAGTAAAACAGGTTTGTCTAACCGGGAAACATGCATTACTATCAAAAGAAAAAAAAAATGAGTGTATCCCACCTGGAAAAGCAAGCAGACTTTAATATCTGAGAAGCATTTCAAGCTGTGCCTGCCAGCAATGCTCTGCCTGCATGATTTTACTTAAGGTAAAAGCCAACCTCACCTGTTTACAAATAATTAGGAGGCAGGCAGGCAGGACGTGGGCTGGAAGTTTGCGCTCCAGCATCTGCGGTGTGTTTCAGTCCCGCTGACCCCTCTGTTGCTGTTTTTGATGCAGGAACCATGGTCACTAAGGACAGTGGCAAATGCATACTTGCAGCATCGGAGAGCGAAGTGGAACCTGCCGCCTGCCTGGCCCTGGAGATGAAATACGCCCTGGATCCCAACAGGCAGATTAAAAAACGCAACAAAGCCCTGCAAGTGCGGTTTAAGGATATCTGCGAGGCGCAGAACGAGCAGAGGGACTCGCAGCTCTCCTCTGGACAGCAGGGGGACAAGCGGGAGAGCAAGCCCGCGTCCTGCAGAGCAGCCTACCGCAAATACATGACGGTGCCCGCACGCAGGTCCATTCCCAACGTCACCAAGAGCACAGGCGTGCAGACCTCGCCCGACCTTAAGAAGTGTTACCAGACGTTCCCTCTGGACCGCAAAAAGGGGACCCTCAAAACCCTCCCAGCAGCGGATCCCTTTAAAAGCCAAAACAATGGGTTTCTAGCGGACTCTAAAGAGAAAAGCCCTGGCAGACACCTGGATGAGGCCCGGCTGTGTGGAGCCGGGCGGGTGCACAAGACCACGGCCTTGGTCTTCCACTCCAACGAACACATGAACGCGGTGGAGCAGCCATCGGGCGTCAACTGTGCAGAGCCGTGTCACAGCCCCGACCTGCTAGGCTTCAGAGAAGCTTCTCTCCGGAATGCCACCCGGCCTCCCCAGACTGCGAAGCAGGACCCAGGTACGCCAGACTCTGAGGAGCCCACTCCGCCCGCCCTCAGGGGGGTGTTTAAAACAGAGGTCGCCGTCTATGCACCCGCCCCCAGTGCCAGGGCCACGGAGCCTGGCTTGTCAGACTCTGCCACCCTGAGTCAGTGGTCGCTGTGCCCAGTAGACGAGGAGCCACGAAGAGCCGCACACGTCAATGGGCTCCAGGCCCCCACGGGCCCCGCTCTGGCCTGCTCACCCCGCAGGCAGTGCGTGCCCCCCGAATGCAGCGAGCAGCCAGTGCAGACTGAAGCCCCACCGGGGCAGAGGGGCCAGCCCAGTCCAACGGCTGGGGCTGCAGGGGAAGAATGCCAACAAATCGTGCCTCATACGGAAGTGGTGGACCTCAAAGCACAGCTTCAGATGATGGAGAACTTGATCAGTTCGAGCCAAGAAACCATCAAAGTGCTCTTGGGAGTCATTCAGGAGTTGGAAAAAGGAGAGGCCCATCGGGAAGGGTATGTATGTTTACCCTTATCTTAGCAAGCTCTGCAGGCCCATCACACTGAGGGTCCTAGCCCCCTAAAGCCCGAATCCATAAGGAGACTTAAAAGCCAGCATGTCTGTAAACAGGCTATGGTCTAAGGACATCGCAAGCCCTGAGTGGTCACAGATAACTTTGATCCTAGACTACACGGTATCCCCACCTTCACCATACACTTGCTGGTCAGCATTCACCTTTCCGGCCTTGAATTCACACCATACCTATATTTTGAATGAATTGATGAATCTTTTAATCTAGGACTAAAGGTTTATAATGGTAATGTATAATATATATGCCAGTCCAAAATATCTAAATAAGCTGTTTGCTTCTTAGGAATCATACTACAGAAGAGAAAAGAAATTTCAGATGGCATTTGGAAAAGTAAATGCTGACTTCCTTATAATATATATTGGAATAATGTAGGTATTCAGGAGTATAAGATTTCATATGATAGGCAGTATGTTTTTCATTCTTTACTGGAACTCAAGCAATGACTACCCTTAGAGAAGCTCCAGCTGTGTATGATTAGGAGACATACCTTTTCCTGTGGTCTGTCCTAAATGTTCACTAGGACTGCAGAGAGAATGATGCCAAGTTCACAGCCAATACTATCTAGCTTTGATAAGAGCTTGTTGGACTTCAGAATCTTCTGAAGTTGAAATTGTACAGCAGCAACTTTAAAAATATGTGACCTAAAGATAAGACCTTAGTTCTTGAGCTCCCTGGCTCAGAAGACTCCTATAGGCCAGGCAGTGTGCTAAGTTGATATGAAGCAGCCAGCAATGCTCTGGTTCTATGCTTCTAGAAACAGTGCCCATGGCTTACCAGCCTCTGTCTAGACTGCCAAGACTTCTCTTTCCCATTTCCCCTTGAAATGGTCTAGATTTCTGCTAGTCTATGTTCTAGAGGTTGGATCTGAAGCAGTGCCCTGTTTGCTCATGTAACTTGCACCCTTCACTCTGTGGGCTCTGAGCCCAGGGTTAAGTAACCTGTTAGCCACCTTGCAAGAATCCAAGAAAAGCATGGAGGAGGCCAGGTCAGCAGACCACCGGGAGGCACAAAGAATCTCCTCCAGAGGCTTGCTGTGGTTGAGGCAGACAGGTTTGCTCATTGCACACAATGGGGAAGAAACAACTTCAGCGTTCTAAGGCAGGAGGCACGGTAGGCAAAGTGCCTGGTGCAGGTCCTGACCTTTGCCCTGGCTGCTCTGGCTTTGTGCACGTGGTCTATCTACAGAGGAGTTAATTCTCAATACCTACCACTCCCCACCTCCAATTTGCTTGGTAGTGTTTGCACTTGATGCTAATAAGCGAAAAGAATTGTTAGCCAAACATAAACTAATCTAACAGGAGATTAATAGGCAATTTAACACCATGGAATATTTTCAAATGACCTGTTCGATCTTGGGTTTACATCTTCATTTTCATCCCATTTCAATCAGTACATACCCAAAAGCAACACACAGAGTAGGAGGGGATTTATGTCAGGGATTTGTTGATCAGTAGACCACATTACCATGGAAAAATTAAAAGCGCAAAGAGTGATTCAATCACTTACTTTGATATAGCTGGTAGCGACTTAAACCAGACAGCAAAACAGGAAGATACTGACATCACCAGTTGGGAAATAAAATTCACCAAATGGTGTAAAACGAAATGTGTATGCTAATGTGCATATTCACAGGGGTATTTGCCCAAATAAGAACCTCAGATGGCTGAACAGCCACGAACACCCATGAAGAGAAAACCATGTAGGCTCCTTCTATGCTATTAGAACAAGTATGGAAAATTGCTTTAAATAGGGTCCTTTGGGTTCTCTGAGAATCTATCCATCTAGCAAAGTGGTTTTGAGTTTAGTAAGATGTGTCTGGGTGGGAATTCTGGCTCTGAGGACTTGGGCAAGGGCTATACCTCTCTGTTTCTTGTTTCTTCACCTGTAAGTTGGAGATAATTGCCCACCCTGCAGGTGGGGGGTGAGGATTACACAGGGTGACCTTCTAATGTACTCAGTCTAGTGGCAGGTGGGTCGGAATGGGTGGATGTCGGCTAATGGCATGAGTGTTGGTCTTCTGCTGGTAAGTGATGTTGGAGGCAGGGGATCTGGGGAATATTTAGTGGCCCTGTGGGAGTCCAGCATGATGAATGCAAGCCCCACATGTGTAGCACAAAGGCTGTCACCCAACTTTGTCACTGAAGCCTGGGCACTGCTCTGTCCAATACAGTAGCCACTAGCCACACATAGCTATTAAAATTCAAACTCAATTACGATTAATTAGAATTGAAAATTCAGTTCCTCAGTCACACTGGCCACATTTTAAGTACTCAATGGCCACATTTATAGGGCACATACATAGACCAGCACAAATAGAGAACATTTCCATCATCACAAAATTTCCTTCATTCCATTATCCCCAAAACATTGCACAGTGTCTGGTCCCTAACCATTTGAGGACTTGGGCACCTTAAATCAAGACAAAGGATAGTTTTACTTTAAAATCAATCCCTCGTTCAGTTGCTGCCTGCACAGAACAAGCTCACAGTAGAAAGCAGAAGGGCAGGTTCAAGTTGTATTGCTGAAAACTGTCACTTTGACCTCCCTCTCTGGGCCCTCTGGATTCATGTAACAATGAATCAAGTGGCTCCAAACTCCAAGGCCACCTTGAAGGTATCCCCTCTTGCTCAATGCCCAGGGTCATTGATTAGGCTGAAATTCAAACTTCCCATCACTCTTCTCCATGCAGGAACATAGGAGAGGGCAGCAGCCTCAGAGGCAGGCAGATAGTGACCAAGTTTGCTCTCCCTCTGCTTCCTAGGCCTCTGGGCCCAGCAGAGAGTCCCCAGGAAGGGGAGCCAGAAGCAGCAGCAGCCAGTGCTGTCCTGGAGCATCCAGAACAACTGGCTCTGGGGGGAGGGTGTAGCATCTGTTGATTTCCATGCTGTAAACACGGCTACAGTGGCCAATTTCAATCAACTCACAAAATCCCGAAAATTTAACACTGCTCCCCTTTGCACCCAACCTCTCCCTTGAATGTTAGGCTGCAGGGCTGTAGAAGGAGGCGTTCACAAGGCTTATTTTATGTACGGAATCTGAGCTGGGAAATAGATGTTTCTGTTGCATCTCGTGGCAAAAAAAAAAAAAAAAAAAAAGAAAATGGGCTCTATTTACACTATTATATATAGTCATTATGTGACATGACAAAAATTTCAATGGCCAAGTTAAAATATCAGTGGAATTTTCCTTGGAAAATATTCTGAAGTCTACAAGTTATTAACTGTGGAAGAACACTCAGGAGCTGGGTAAAGCCAGTTCCTCTCCTCACTTGCCAACCCCAGGAACACGTGGAGGGTCATGTACAAAATTTTACCTGCATTAAGAAGAGTCCTAATGAAGATAGGTACCTTGGAGCCAGTGGCTTCGAATGAAAGTGGCAAATTTTGCCGCCAGGTTTCCACCTTGTACTTTAGGCTTGACCTGAACCTGAGATGGCCATGGGCCTGTGCAGGTGCATGATGTTAGGACAGAGCTAGGGAAGTCAGTACTCTCTCAATCTGGCCAATGGCCCTGGGCAACTTATGTTTCTTAGAACATACTTAACATATTTCATGTATAATCTCTACAGTGGGACTTTTTCACTATTGAGTTTGCCAGGCAAGCTCTTCCCATAGTTCACACTGTGTGGAATTTGTGTCTCCAGCTATGACTTTTGGTAGCTTCCAAATTATTTTTCATAAGAGATGTTTTCATTAATCTCATTTGCTTATGTAGATTTCCAAAAGGCTTCAGTAGAGAAAGTTTTGAGCTGAAACAAGCTACTTAACCTCAACTTCAGTTTTGTCTTAAAGAGGGCTGGGAGAAGCTTAAATATGATATCTACAAAGCTCCTACTTATAACCAGCACGCAGTTGGCACTGAATAAAGGACATGTCCTGTTACAAGCATTTTAGTAGGATGAATTCTGTAAGTAGGTAGATGTGCAAAAAGTATTCAAACTCATGCCTTCTAGTCCCTTGTAAAACATCAGGGCAATTCACTAAAATCATTCTGCTTATGCAGTGCAGGCAGCATTTGATCACTGGGCTTGCATGAATGCCAAGAATTATCCTGCTTATTTCAGATTCCTCAAGTATTAATGCTTGTCTCTTCCTGAGAAGTTCAGGGTCACATAGGCTACCTAAATAAGCCACTGATGTAGTCATTGAGAACCAGGCAAATGGGGCACTGAATTTAAAAAGCCAACCAACTGTTAGAACAGTGGTAATTTCCCATAGCAGCTATGGGATTCGTGGGCAGGAGAGCCTCAGACCAAGTGGATGCAGGTCTTAACTGCTCATTGTGCAAACTCACAAGCAACTCTGGTGTGGCAACCACAATGGCACCTCGGGGTGGAGACAGCTATTTGCTTCTAAGATTACCCCAAACATTGAGCATCTTGATGTGTTTTTTGGTTAGTGACAACTTAATGATGCTTTGCTATTCAGAGAAGACCTGAAACCAATGTGAGACGCTTTATTCAAGATCCCAAGCAGGTGGTCAGGACTGTGTCACTGCCCAGAGTGAAGTGGGTTCTTCTACTGGCAGGTGTCTCCCAGCATCTGTGGGATGTTAGCTGCAGGCTCGGGGCAGGGGGCAGCAGTGGAGCCCAGGTCTTAAACATGCCCAGCAGGCAGTGATGAAATCATGAGGCTGTGGGGCTATACTGAGTCAGAGTACATCCAAAGCATGACTTTCAAGAACATCCTAAACCATCACCAAGCTAAGGAGTCTAGTAGCTTTCAGGAGAGGGTGTAAATGTAGTAATTCACGGCCTCCCAGTATCTCTGTAACCCCAAATTGGGGCAGCTACCCATCAGCTGCATCCTGCTCCTCCTCACAGAGAAAACATGGTTTCTTGGTGGCATGGGGCCCAGGTCTCCCAGGTCAAGGGCAAACAGTGGTAAAAATGAAAAAAGAGGAATTCCCCTGGGTTCAGTGGTT